CTTCACTGCTGGTGGGAATGCCGGCTGGTCCAACCCTTTTGGAAAACAGTATGGACGATTCTCAAAAAATTAGAATTTGATCTCCCATTTGACCCAGCTATAGCACTCCTGGGAATATATCCCAGAGAGGCAAAAAGGTATAGTCGAAGTGACATCTGCACTTGTTTGTTCATTGCAGCACTCTTTACAATAGCCAGAATCTGGAAAAAACCTGAGTGCCCGAGAACAGATGACTGGTTAAAGAAACCTTGGTACATTTACAAATTGGAGTACTATGTAGCTGTTAGAAAAGACTGAAATTTACATACAAGTGGTACTACATGGAAAGTATCATGTTAAGTGAAATGAGTCAGAAGGAGCAGGATAGACACAGAAAGATTGCATTCATCTGGGGAACATAAAGCAACAAAACGGGAGACTAACACCCAGGAATGGCTGAGATTAGTACCAGGAATTTTGCTCCATGACTTGAAGGCCAGCCACATGTGCTAGGTAAAAAGGAAGCTCAGATAGAAGAGAGCACCAAATAAAGGGTGTTGTGAAGACCCTCCCAGGGTGGGAGAGACATGCTATAAGTAGTCTATAGACCAAACATGATTGCCACTCAATGCCTCTCTGGCAAAACACAGTACCCAAAAGAAGAGAGAGAGAACAAGGGGGAATGCCCTGCCACAGCGGCAGGGTGGGATGGGGGGGGGGGCAGGGATGCTGGGACCCGTGGTGGGGGAGAATGGGCACTGGTGGAGGGATGGGTACTTGATCATTGTATAACTGAAACCCAAGCACAAAAATTTATAAGTCTATAAATGTACCTCATGGTGTTTCACTAATAAAAAAAAAATTATTAAATAAAAAAAAATAAGGAGAGTGTGAGTGAGAGAGTGTGTGTGTGTGTGTGTGTGTGTACACAAATATCTGGGTTGGATTCTGAGGGCTTTCCCGCTAATGTAGGTTCAAGTATCTCTATACACTCTATACATGACTGAAGGTGGATTGTGAAACAATACTCCTTTACTATCTCCCCACACTCTAAGTAAGAAAAAAATAGAGCCATGAAAAGCAAATTTTAAAAATCATAGTTCTAATGACACCTCTTTTAACTTAGCCTTTTCTCTGCTGAATGTCATGTTAGCAGTTCTATCAAACCTTGAGGAATAAATATGATTTTTTAAATTTTTTTCTGCTGAAGGAAATAAAAATTTGTAATCCAAATTTAATAAATGGCAAAGGTTTTTCCTCAAAGCTTGCAAAAAGAAGTATATTTAAGTAAAGGTTAATAGTTAGATTATATCAACTGGGGCCAGAGAGATGGTACAGCAGGTAAAGACCAGAGATTTCTGCTCTAGAAAACACTGTGGACTCAACCCTCTGACTGAACCTCCTTAATACTGTTATCAATAACCAAGATGACAAGCCTCTCATAATCAAATATTAATTTGATTAATTAATACTCCTTAATACTGTTATCAATAACCAAGATGACAAGCCTCTCATAATCAAATATTAATTTAGTCAAAAAACATTTGCTGGAGCGACAGCAGATAAGGCGTTTGCCTTGCATGTGGCCGACCCGGGTTCGAATCCCAGCATCCCAGCATCCCAGCATCCCATCATCCCATATGGTTCCCTGAGTACTGCCAGAAGTAATTACTGAGTGCAGAGCCAGGAGTAATCCCTGAGCATCTCCAGGTCTGACCCAAAAATCAAAAAAAAAAAAAAAATTTCCTTAGCAGTGGTAGGGCGTTTGCCTTGCACGCAGCCAATATGGCCGACCTGAGTTCGATTCCTCCACCCCCTGGAAGAGCCCAGCAAGCTACCGAGAGTATCTTGCCCGCAGGGCAGAGCCTGGCAAGCTCCCCATGACGTATTCGATATGCCAAACACAGTAACAACAGTCTCCAATGCTCAACCAAATTGATGAACAACGGGAGGACCGTGACCAACCTTTAGGAAATATCTGACATTAACCTAAGACCTTTTCCTTTAAGTAACAGAAATTTATACAAAAACACTTCAATTCATCACTGCGGCCGCTTAATCTGCTGGAAAACTATAACGTTAAAATAAAAAATTTAATATAATAAGAGACATGCTTCTAGAGTTTAAAACATTCTCTAGTGAATAAAGAGTAGGGTATTCCTACAATAAATATTAAGAGTAACAAAGTCCCTATAGCAACAGAATTAGTAGGCAAATTAATCACAATAAAAATATTACAGGTATTTTGGTAGACTATTGAACACATGTGTGTCTGGCACTGTACTTGTTCTCATTAAACTTTAAGAAACGACCAGAGAAGACTAATTACTATCCCTATTTTACAGATGGGAACGTTAACCTTTCCATGATCACTCAGCTAGCAAGTGGCAGGCAGAGTCAAGATTCCAACCCAAACCTTGCTATAACTTCAGAATCTGCACCACTATACTATATTGCCTCCAGTGACTGAGTTGGTTTTTAAAAAGGGAAATTTGTTCTCAAATGACAAATTTGAGAAACATACCAGAAATGGAAGATACACTGTTGAATGCCAAAAAAATTTCATATAGTCAAGCAACTCTTTTTATGTCCAAATGCACATAAAATGATGAAAATTTCAAACAACTTTTCACAATTTCTCCTAAGTACTCATTCATGCTTATAGTTAATGGGAACACTGTTTTCTGCTTAATTCTGTTCTGAACCTAAAACTGCTCTACAAATTCTATTTTTTTAACTTAGAATGAAAATATATCAAATGTGACTACTCCAATTCAATTACGAGTCGGCATAAGACTATTCAGTTATTATAACCAGAGTACTGAGAAGGTAATGAGCACTTAATATTTAACTAATTTTTACAAAAAGGCTTAAATGTGTATAGCCAGTGCAGTAAAATTTGCAGCTGTAACTCCCAACACTTTCAGAAAAGTCTGCATGTAATAAACAGACCTAAGGAGGAGTAAAACTGAACCAAAAAAATTGAACTCCTAGTGAACAGTAAAACGGAATACACTTTGCCTATGCCATGGCTGGCGAAAAAATGAAACAAACTTTCCTTTCCACCTTGAGTATCAAGAATGTAGCCCTAAGTCAAAACTACAGAATCTTCCTAACTTGTTTTTCAAGTCCTTTCAAATTTTTCCACATAGTTTATCTAGGAAAGAAAAGGGGGAAATGATCACTTCCAACAGTCCATGGATGACTGTTAACATATAAGCCACAATTTTTTTTTTGGCCTCTGATCCATGGATGCAAAAATTCTAAAGGTCAATTAAAACTGGAATGGGACCCACAGAAGTTTTGCATACCTAGAATTACCACTTCCACTGAGCTCATCCAGATTCCACTCATCAAACTCCACCTTTATAAACACAGGCATAGTTCATTCATGAAGAGAACAAGGTAAACACTCACTGTATAGAGAAGGCACCTGTCCTACATAGCTTGCAGTCGACTGTCAAAACGGCCACAGACAAAACTGTTAAGGGAGGCCCCTTTCTAATTTTCATTTCCACACTGTAGTTACAATGTCTCAACAATGAATTACATTCATAGTAACAAATGGGATCGGCAAAGCACAAGTTAGCTACTGTAGGTGTGCGGCCCCTTAACCACACCTGTCATTCACTGAACTTCCTGGCCACGTTTTCAGACGGGATCATCCCCAAGGCTTTTTCTGCCCTCACTCTCCTTCCACTAGGTAAAAGTTGGCACTAGCAGCGCAACCGAGGGGAAACATCCCGGGAGAGAGAGCGCGCGCGCGCACGTTGCAAAAGGAAGGGCAACACTCCTGCAGACAACCTGCATTCGAATCCTCCCGCTAACCATCTCGTCGCAACAAGGGAGCCCACAGGGGCAAGGGGAGGACGATCGCCCGGGGAAGTGCAAGCTCAGCTAAACCCAGGTCCACCACTCCAATTTGGAAGGGGCAGAATCACATCCGGCTCCTGCGAGACACGCACGTTTTGCCGAACTCCCCATCTTTTAAAGCGTTCCAGCTTCCCAGAGGAGCAACAAACCCACGAAAACGCCGGGGGGGGACTGTGTCTCCTGGGGGTAAGATGAGCGACCAAACCAAACCCCCGGCCCGGGGGGCGAGCCAGAAGCTCCCAAACTTTCCCGAAACGCTGGGGGTTAGAACGAGACACTTTTTTCGTCCCCCACTTCTTGCCCGCAGCCGCAGTCCGCACCGCCCCCCGTCGACCCCCGAAGCCCGGAACCGCGGTGTGGACTTACTGGTTGGTCGGAGGCGCGGTCAGCGGGATGGCCACCTCTTCCTCCTCGTATTCTGGTCCATCCAGAGAGTCCCCTTCGTCCACGGTCCCCAAGCCCGCGCCCAAAGACGGCAGCTGAGGGGGCGGCGGCGGCAGCGGAGGGAAGCCGCCGCCCGCCCCGAAGGGGTCGGCGGGCAGCGCGGCGACCCCCCGGCCCAGGGCCACCTCCCCGCCGGCTCCGGGGGGCGCAGCGGCGGCCCCTCCCCCTGACAGCCCGGCTCCCCCGACGCCCGGGAACGCCGAGCCCGAGGCGGTGCCGCCTCCCAGAGTCCCCGCCGCCCCGGCCTCCGCCAGCCCCGCGTAGGGGGCGGCCGGCACCGGCAGCGCCGCGGGGACCTTCCCCCGACACGCCGCCGGGCAGGCAGCCGAGCCCGCGGCCGCGCCGCCCCCGACGGCCCCGCCGGCCACCGGGCTGCCCTCCTCACTGCCGGCCTCGGCCGCCATCATGTTGAAGCCCGCTCGCCGGTGCCCGGCCCTGCCCGCCCGGCAGCCCCGGGGGCCACCAGGCCCGGGCTCCGAGCCGCCCCACCCAGGCGCGTGCCCCCGGCAGCTCCCCCAGGCAGAGGAAACAACAACAAAAGGCGCCCGCCGCCGCCGCCGCCGCCGCGCCCCCTCCTCGGGCCACAGCCCCGGCTCGCGAGCCGCCCGGGTTACGGGAAGCCAAGTGGGCAAAAATTCCCCGGCGCCCGCACGCCAACGCCGCCCGGCCCTGCGCCGCACACACCCACACTCACTCACACACACATGCACGGGAGCGAGAAACTTCCTGGCGGCGCTCGAGGGGAAAGGGAAGCGCCGGGGAGGCGGCCGGGCGACTGCGGGCCCCCACGGCCCCTCCAGCCCCTGCCGCCGCCGCCGCCGCCGCGCCTTCACCACCCCAGTTCCGGCCACCCCCACCGCAGCCACCGCCGGTGCCGCTGCTGGGGCTGGGGCCACGGCAGCCGCTTCATCCTCCACGGGGCGGCAGCGGCAGCGGGGAGGGGTGGGGAGGAGAGGAAGGGGGGGCGGGGGGGGCGGGGAAATCGACGGCCGCGCTCCCGACCCGGGGCTCGCCGCGCTGGGGAAGGGAGAAAGGAAGGCGGGGCCGGGAGGAGGAGCGCGCGCAGGAAGGGCGGGGGAGGAGGCGGGCGGCGGCACTGCGCAGGCGCCTGCGCGGCGCGGGCCCCCGCGAGGCGGGCGGGAGGCGGGCGCGGGGCGGGCCGGCCCGGGCGGGAGGAAAGGGAAGAGTCGGAGGGAAGGAAGCGGCGGGGACGGGCCGTGCGCACCGCACACACCGCGCGCCGCGCGTTCGAGCGCGTGGCGGCCCCGGGGCGGCTGTCCGCGGCCGGCTGCCCTGGGCTTTGTCTGATGGCTCAGCGGGGACAGGGACGGGGGGCCGGGCTGGGCCGGCCAGACCTGGAAGACGCAGGATCGGGAAAAGAAGATGCGGCGCTGCCGGTTCCGTACTTCCTGACCCGGAGAATCTACACCCCGGAGCCCGCGGAGCACCGACCTGCCGACCTACCGGCGCAGGCTTCGGAGCAGGGGGCGGGACCGCTAGAGTGTTTCGGGGGAGAAGGGGGTGAGGAGGAGAGAGATGGAAGAAACACTGTTGTTTTTATTTTTATATTACCATTGCAGCATGGTAGTAACTGTGTTACAAATGCAGACCGTCAATGGGGAAAAAGAAGAAGGAACCTACGTCGTGAAATTCGAAACAGGAGAAAATTGAGCTTGTGGGAAGGGAAGGATTCTGCTGGAAATCAGAGGTCTAAAGTCCGTTTTCTAAAGCTAGAAGTTTCTTCACCAACCTCCCTCCCCCCACACCCTAGAGTATTCATCATCTCATTCTTTCCACCTGTCCCCGCCCCCCCCCCACGCAGAAACACGTGTCTGTTGGATCTTAATGAAACGTGGAAAGGAGGCGTTCTAGAAACCACCCTAATCAACGTTTGTCCTCGCGTGCAAAATAGATACACATGTGATAGAACAGCACCTTCAGGCAATCAAGAAGGTCCCGAATTGTTCGTTATCAAAAATGACTGGTAGTTTCAGAGATTAGGAAACTGAAACCTCATCTTTAATACAGTCTGGTTAGTGACCTTCTATACTGGAGTGTGAACAGTTACCTTCGAGTTGAAGCTCACTGACAAGTCGAAGTTACAGTGGTAGCAATTTGCCCTTTAGGATTCATAAACTGTCTTTTAGATTATTTCATCAGGAACTAACAAATACTATAAAAATTGATCTTTCAAATCAATATCTCTAAGCATAGTGTTATAATGGGGATACCAAAATCCTATAACATCTGATTGGGGTGGGGAGAAAAGAGGTAGCAAGGCGCATGCAGGACATTTTTTAAAGTTTGCAGGAGGCAGGAAAGTAAAAGTACAGGAGTTGGGGCATACCTTCCATGCCCGCGAGCCCCTGTTCAACCTGGCACCACATAGGCCCCAGATCACTACAGCCCTGGTGGTCCCTACCCCAGTAGGGACCAGTCATTCAAAAGTCTAGCTAGGTTGGTGAGAATCACTGTGAATGTTCAGCACTTCTGAGCAACATTTAGATCAAAAACAACTAAAAAAACCTCCATAGCTTCAGTGGTCGAGTGCTTGTCTTGCATGTGTGAGGCCCTGGATTCCATCCCAAATCGGTGACAAACTTATCTGAATAGTAATCATGAGGAATCCTTCAATGTGCTTATCCTTTAGGGAGTATTCTACCTGGGAAAGTAAAAATGAACTAGTCACAGGAATGTTCTCAGACCAGTAGTACTCTAGCAACTTATTAGAAATCCGTGTTACTGGACCCCACTCCAGGTAGTCTGAACCACATACTACATAGCAATTTATATTATCGAGCCCTTTAAATTTGTACATTTTCATTTAATAACCTTTATATTATATAGTATTCAAAAAAGAAAGATACCCTACCTTAAAATGTATTTGAAGGAGTAGATGAGAAAGCTAACATTAGCATTCATTAGACAAGTGTGTAGAGATATAGGTACTGATGTCTATCTGCGGTTCCAGAAAATAGTTTAGGAAGTGATTATGAAATGCATAATTTCATAATCCTTAAGGGAATAATAAAGTCCTACATCTTATGGTGCGCTACAGGGAAATTTTTTTCTCTTTTAAATGTAGACTGTAGGCGGTCAGAGAGATAGTACAATGGGTACAGCATTTGCCTTGCATGTGGCTGACCCAGGCTTGATTCCCAGCGTCCCGTATGGTCCCTCAAGCATCACCAGAAGTAATTCCTGAGTTCAGAACCAGGAGTAACCCCTGAACATCGTCAGGTATGATCCAAAAAGGAAAAAAAAAAGTAAAGAACATACATTTATATGTTCGGAGTTAGAAAAGAACATCAAAAGCACTATATAACAAATTGCTATAAAAGCTTTGGTGTTGCCGAGTTTTTAATAGTGGGTTAATATCTCAGTTCTCTAACTTGCCCGTCCCAATTGCAATAGGTCTTAGAATGTTTGACATTAGACTGTCAGCTGTTGGCTATCACTTATCTTTTCTAAATACTCGCATTTCATCTGTTTGCTGCTGTAATTACAGATCAAACTCACTACTTTTATTGGCAAAGTCACCTTCTTTTTTCATTATTAAAAGTCCAATATTCCTAATAAAGACCAATATTTAATGCAGTACTGAACAAATTATAATTTAATTTTGTTGTTTTCTAGTTTTATCTCTGCAGGGCCGGAGCGATAGCATAGTGGGTAGGGCATTTGCGTTGTATGCAGCCGACCTGCGTTCGATTCCTCCACCCCTCTCGGAGAGCCCAACAAGCTACCAAGAGTATTTTGCCCACACGGCAGAGCCTAGCAAGCTACCCGTGACATATTCGATATGCCAAAAACAGTAACAATAAGTCTCACGATGGAGACGTTACTGGTGCCCACTGAAGAAAATCAATGAACAACGGGAGGACAGTGCTACAGTGCTGTGCTTTATCTGTAAGTAGCTACAAAACTCTATTTGAAACAGTGTGTGGTATCTCCCACTGCTTAGCCTAGTCCCCAGAGTTCTTGAATTCTTATTTTGAACAGCTCTCCATTCATTAACAAATACTAGGTGGATTGGTTCATACTTAGATGTAGGATAAGGGTTGGTTTGCTCTTCCTCCCTGGCCACTAGAAGCTTGTGTTTGTTGATTGCCGCCCCCCCAAACTGCCAATTACTTTTGTCTCCTGATCAGACTCTGACTTGGAAATATTGTCTTTCTCTTCTCCTTAATGGCCTTTGCATGGTTAGTTATTTCAGGGCAATTGTTTTTTGTATGGATACAGGAAGACAGTTAAAAAGAAAAGCCTGTTGCTTGGGAGTTGATTGACTCCAGATGATATACCTCCTGGACATCTGTTCTCTCAACTTCGGCCTTAGTTGCTCTTCCAAGATCCCCAAAAGCAGGGTCCCGACAAGAGACTGGATAGACCCAGGGCAAGCGGTGAGCTATGAACCACCTGGCATCGAAATGGGCCTGACTAAAGTGTCCTAATGCTTAACTATAAGAGCTTGGTCAATGGACAAAGTCTTTCATGATCCAAAAGTAATTAACTAGATTTGACCCTGCTGGAGTTAGGAATGATTGATCTAGCTTGAGCACTGTAGTCTGAGTCTGTGGTAGGATGTCCCAGGAGAGTCACCCTACTAGCCTAAAAGTGTCTATAACTGTGTCCATACAGAATGGTAAATGTTAGGAGAATTAAAGATGCTAATTAAGTTGCTGGTCTAAGGAGAGGAGAAACACACCTAAAGACTATTTTGCCCTCATAGGCTGCAGGTGTTCGAGAAATCTGGAAAAACATTTTCGATTGTGCTTCCCGTGGGGAGGCGTGGTTGGGGAGGCTTGATGAGAGGACAAAAAAGAACAGCTGTGGGAAGAAAGGGGGGGATTGATTATTAGAGAAATAAATTGGTGTTGGATTGTGGAAGGAATTGATTGAAGGTTGCTGCAGGGGGATTGAAGGAGAGATGTTACAGAGACAGCAGAGAGACAGCAGAGAAAGAGAGATAGAGCGGACAGATACAGCAGGAAGAATTTTGCGCTTAGAGAAAGAGAGAGAGAGTTGGAGAGAGCTGGGAGAGGCGAGAGATTGAATAAACAGCAACTAATCAGTTGGAGTTCTTCCTTCGTCCATCCAAGGCAATAGCTTTCCCGGGTGGAGAAGCAGCTTGAGAGCACTGAACATGGGTGGCAAGAAGAGCCTCCTGGAGAGCCCAAGAAGACCCTTTCACAAGTCATCTCCGTACTCCTGAGGGGCTTACACAGCCCTGCGGTGTGGGGAATTTCACAGCTCCTCAAGAACGTGGAATTTGTTTTTACACTTAGACACTGATTGTTCGATTAGTAGGAAAAGCCAAGTAGGTATAGCTGTGCATCAATCTATTACCAATTTTTTTTCATATTCAGTCTTAGAATTGCGCAGTTCTTTTCATGAAAACATTACTACATTTTTATGAGCGATTTTCAAATATTTTCTGGACTCTTTATTAGAGAAAACTAGGTTTTGATATTTACTGTTCCTGTGTATTTTTTTAATCTTGAATCAGTTTTTTTTCTCTAGTGATATTTTCACTCTTTCCAAAGAGGTTAGTGTTTCTACTTTCTGAATTATTAATCGCTGTTCATCTTTTTCTACTCACCTTGACCTTTTGCCCTTCTTATGTTCTTTATTTGTATATCCCCCTTCAATTTCTGCTTTTGTATTTTCCTTTTCTTTGAGACTTTAATTTCTTAACTTATGTAAATAAATCTTTTTTATTATCAGGATTCTACAGGAATTGATAGTAGATACAAAGGTATGTAACATCAGCAAGCAAAGAGAAGTAAACTGTTAACTAAATTCATAGATAATATTAAATAATGAGCACTGAAAACAAAAAAATTATCAAAACATAGAAAAAAATTCAAAATAGCTTTTACCTTAAGTAACTCAATCTATGAGAGCCTGTGATTTCAGAAAAGTTACTCCATCTATTGAATTAAATATAGAATTGGGAATAAATCTTCAAAATGCTGATCAAAGATTGTGAGTGAAAAATAATTGAATATTAAAAATATTAAAATTGTGTGGGTGAGAGTGCAGGGTTAAGGCTCATGTCTTGCATGCAATCACAGTATTACATGGTCCCCGGATTCAACCCCCAGCAGTATAGCAGCACATAACTGAAACGCTTAGGCCCTCATATTTGACCATCAGCCTGGTTGGCTGAGAACCTCTAAGAGTGAAGCCCTGGGCTTCCCAAGCACTGGTTGGGAGACCCCGCCCCCCAAAACAAAAAGTAAATAAAGTTGGTTTATTTTTGTTTTATTAGCAACTGAAAAACTATGCTTGTCAAAATATTTTGCAGTTATTATAACTCAAAATGTGAAAGAGGTATTTCTGACTTAGAAAAACAATAGAGAATTTCAGGGGTAAAACAAATGTATGAGGAGTTTCTGATAGGAATACTAAGATATAACATAGACCTCACAGCTGTATTTGAAGCACCCCAAACTTTTCTATGCCATTGTATGTACTCAATTTTGAGTATGGGTTTCCAAGTTAATCTGTTGTTAAAAGACTTAATTGGCAAAAAATTTTGAAAGAAAATATTTGGTTTTAATTCCTGTGTACCTACTACTTTTGGTCTTATCCTTAAGATCCTGAATAGCACAAATCTCTCTCCTTATTAGATATTTTTTAAGTAATATTGGGAAAACAAAAGTTTAGAA